AAAAATTATTAAAATTAAACTATTTAAATATATAATAATATTATTACAAATAAATTAAAATATATAAAATAAAAATAAAATGATTAAATAATTTAAAAATTGAAAGAATAAAATATTATAAATATTATTTAAATAAATTATTAAAAAGACTGTACGGGTATCCTCTCAAATAAGATGGTAAGATAGAATTTTTCTAATAGTAATTCGGGTGATAAGTAAGCACACGTGACACGTCACAGGGTTCAGCGCTCGGAAGCTTGAAGCCACTCAAACTCGACACTCCAACGCGCAGCGGGCATGGCCATAGGCGCAGCAGTTACCGGTATGTGCACGCTCACTCCAACGCTCTCTTCGTTCAACCACCCCACGCGCCTCCTCTCACGCGCTACTTTCGCTGCGAAGCTTCGATTTCCACTTCCATTTCGAGCTTCTTCCACGGCCTTGCTCCACACCGACACCGATCCAACAGTAATACTTCTTCTCCCTCCAATTCAATTCCCTTATTATTACTTCTCATTTTCATGCTTTGTCAAACGCTTTCACGAGGAACCTAATTTCGTGCTTAGGATTCCATCGTAGTTGAAAAGGAAGAAAGCAAGAGTCGCCACTCGTTGGCTTGTCCCGTGTGTTACGATTCCTTGACATGGAACGCTGATCCTGGTTTGTCCGTGTGAGTTTATTTTAATAATCGATTGTTTCCTTTTGCTATATGTATATATTTGGTCGTCTATGCTTATTTGTATTCATTCGCTGGTTGCTGTGGATAATTTTTTGATGCAGAGATACTGTCCCTGGATCTAGTTTTCAATGTAGCACCTGTCAGAAAACATATGTTGGTAACCAAACGCATCTTGATCTCACCGCAACAGCTGGAGCCAAGAGCTACGGTGAACCCATGCCAGCTTCCACAGAGCTTTTCAGGCATTCTAGTTCCCTTTCTTTTACTTCATATAAAATGTTTTTTCTTTTTCTTTTCTGGTGAAACTTTAGTTGTATTTGATCATTTTAGAGAATTTTTTGTTTTCCTTTTGTTGATGATCCTTTGTAAAGATATGGTCGTGGTATATATAATTAAGGAACAATCTTCATCTTATAAGTTAAGGTTGAGTTAGACACAAAGTCCGCTTTACTAAAATGATATCAGAGTTCATGATTATTTATTATTGTTGAGCTTATTAGACCATTGGTTATATGATACTCTAATCGGACGGGCCATAAATGTTTAATCCTGCAAACTTTGTGCTCAATATGTCAAGTTCTCGGTGTGAAGAGTGTACAGAAGATCTCACATCAACTAAAAATATAGTCATAATAGTGTAGATAAACGAGAAATATTCGTCGCTTTATAAACTAATTTTTTTGTATGGTTGAGACAAGTCTAGATCCATATTCTGAGACCTTTTAATTATGTTCCTACCTTTGATATATTGTTTTTTCAGTTTTAGCGAATTTTGGTACCACTGGACATAGATAGCCAATGCATATGAACAAACTAGTTTATTTATGATGACACACTGCTGTTTAACAGTATAATTTGTTGCCTAAATGCTGTGGAGTTGGATTTGAAACTAATTTGTCACTTTTATGCATGCTGCTTGTTTGTTGAATTAGGGTGCCATTGATATCATTTCTCTATGAGAGAGGCTGGCGTCAAACCTTTTCTGCGTGGGGTGGTTTTCCAGGTCCTGAGAAAGAGGTTAACAAAATGTCCCTGTTCCTAATAACGATTCCTTCTTGATGTACCCACATTACGTTTTTGATTTTTAATTAATGGTTTCTCATCTACAAATCCTTTTGTTTATCCATTAGCTTATTTTTTCTTCAATAAGCTATACTGTCCAATTGGATTAATAGTCCTTCTTGATATATTTTATAGGTTCCTTTAGAGTTACAGGAACATCATAAACTGATTCAATAAGTCTTTGTAGCTTTGCAGACACGCATATAGTGGCTTTATATTTTATCAGCCAAAAGTTTGAACTTATCAAATTAATTCAAAATAATTTTTCTGGATTCAATAAGCTATCCAAATTAACAACTATAAGCCCACTCTTAACTCGTGGATGTCCTGAGAGCTATATCATTCAGTTTGTCTTATTTACCTATGGGTGCTTGGTGAAAATAATATGAATTTGGATATGATGCTGAAAAATATAAGATGATATTCTTTGAAATACTAATGAATCTGTCTTCTTTTGTCTTGTTTTATTTTAAATCACTATTAGAATTAGCTTCTTGATGTGTGCATACTTTATGTTCATTGATGAAGCCTTCTACTGAATTTGACTGCAGTTTGAAATGATGAAGGGTTTCTTAAAGCCAGTATTGGGTGGAAATATCATTGATGCTAGTTGTGCAAGTGGATTATTTTCAAGATTATTTGCAAAAAGTGGACTTTTTTCTTTTGTTGTTGCTCTAGACTACTCAGAGAACATGTTGCGGCAATGTTATGAATTCATTCAGAAGGAAGAGAATTTTCCAAAAGAGTACACAGTTGATATTTTTAAATTAATTAGAATTTTATCATATCAAAATTTTGAATTCGAAGTTCTAAGGGAACTGTTTTACCAATACTTTTATTCATATTACAATTATATTTAAATATTATTTCTGTTTTTAGGAACTTCATCTTGGTTAGAGCAGACATATCTAGGCTCCCTTTTGTTTCCAGTTCCGTTGATGCTGTACATGCAGGTGCAGCTCTCCACTGTTGGCCTTCACCATCAGCAGCTGTAAGTGAATAATTATTAAATGATGTTTGGCTTTTACAAAATAATTTTTCATTTATTTAAAATAGCTGTGGCAGTGGATTAGGGAAAATCATTTAGCCATGGTTTTTGAGATGTTTACAAAGTTCATATATTAATCTGGAGTAGAAAATGGAATCTCTAAAGGTTTATGCGGTATTGAGTCAGCAACGATGAAGAACATGTTTCATACTTTCAGTGATGCTAGCTGATTTTAAATATAAGCTTTATATTTTGGATAAATTTCTTAGGCTGATTTGTGACTTTGCAGTATGCATAGTTTAGTCAGATGGTCATGCCGTGCATCACTGTGTTTAGTCCGTAACTCAACTTGTTTTTTTCCTCCATAATTTGCGTGACCCGCTTTAAACAGGTAGCTGAAATAAGTCGTGTTTTACGACCTGGAGGCGTGTTTGTTGCAACCACCTACATACTTGATGGGCCTTTTTCTGTTATCCCATTTTTAAGTACAATACGTCAGGTATAAAATTTTGATTTATATTATTAATAAAGAATTCTTTACAACACTTTCTACAGTATTTTTTTTATCTCTATCTCCATTACATCAACCACTTTATTCCACACTTCTCTGCCTTCTGTTTGTTGCAAAACAAATTGTATAAATCTGTTGTATAATTATAATTTCTCTAGAAATTTTTAGCTTGGGATTCTCTTAGAAGTGTTGCCATGCTCTGTCTGAATTCATAAATTCAGTGAGAATAACAAGAATTACTTTGTATTTGTTGCTATTTCTTAATTTGGATGTTCAGCCTCTCAATCATAGGAAGTCAAGTTAGTATTAATTTAGTTCCTCAATAATATGAAAAGAAATCAATTTAGTCTCTCAGTCTCACTTTTGTGCATGGAAGAATGATTTTGATTTCAATTTCCATGACCGAGGACTAAAGTGATGTCAACTAAATCTTTCAATCACCAAAATGAATGTCTATTCTAGGATCTTGTATCATGTTTTTTATTTTATTTTATAATTTCTATTAGTTTTGAATATTGGAATATTTGTTTCACGTTTTAGACTGTAAGGCAAGTGTCTGGGAGCTACATCACTCTCTCTGAACGTGAACTTGAAGATCTCTGCAGGGCGTGTGGGCTTGTTGGATTTAAATGCATTAGAAATGGGCTTTTTGTGATGATTTCTGCTACAAAACCCAGTTAAGGTTTGAGTTTCCTGGTGTTTTCTTTGCTGCCTTCTCAACACATTTTGCTGAAGCCTTTATTTCCTTACTTAATTTTTTAAATCGTTAGCAGATGAAAATGCTGCTTGTTGATATATATGTTAAAATTTGTAGTTTGACTTTGTATATAAAGTAGGCTTCATTCAGAGAGATGATATTTCTAAATTGCATTACTTGTGTTTGGGGAGCTGGGATGATCACCTCCACGAATGCAAAATATGAGTTGCAACAGATGATGAAAAGGTGTCCAAATCATAATGATATGTGTAAATATCGTTTCTCTTTCATTTGACACTTTCAATTTTTTTTCTTCTTCTTTTGGCATTTGACTCATATAACACAAAATCATTGCAGTTCTGTCAATTGTGATTGGAGTAATAAAGATATTGTTAGGAAACAAATAATCTCCTAGAATTCGAGGACTAGAAACCTCCTAAGAAAATAGAGAAAGATGGCTGTATACACTCAAGATCCTAACAATATGCTAACCAATCCTATACTGGCAGCATAGCACTTCCTAAGAGCATTAATTATCCTTTTATTTGATATATATAGCCTTCTAGATGCTATTAGGCGATTATGGCAAGTAGCTAATAATAAGTGAATATCGTCTTTTAAAAGATTGTGTAATACACGACAATAAGTATAAATAATAACTAATTTAAATAAAGAAATATTCTATTAATTGCATTGATTTATAAAAGAAATAAAAAATTATGTAAAAAAAAGGTAAAATTGATTTTGGTATTTTATTAAATAGTTATTGGTATTTTATTAAATAGTTAGAAGACAGTTCATATTAAATATGATATAGTATGTTGAAGTTGGTATAATCTTAACTCAGCAATCTCAGTAGCTGCAGAACTGCTCAGACTATTCTCCCAAAATTAGAGAATGTCAACTGCTGGTAGAGCAATGTAGACATCTTCGTCATTTTTAATCCCTAACATCAGTTTTTCTGACTCAAACTATCTATGGGTAAACTATTTAATTCCATTTGCTGAATGTCTGATTCTACCGGAGCCTACATCTTTGCTCGTTATCTGTCACTTGGATTGATTTTGACCATTCGAAAGGGTTGAAATGTGTACCAAGTATATTAATATTAACTTTGTACAATATTTTGCAATAATAAAAAACATAATCTTCTAAATCAGTCCTATGTGCAACGATGAAACACATTAAAAAATATATATTTTGTTCACTTCCAAGTATTTATACATGACTAACAAAATTTGTTAAATAATTGGAGTGGTTGGAAGCATTTCGCCAGTTATCTCTTAAAAATTAAATAAGTTAAAAACTTAATTTGGTCTCTTATAATATTTTTTTTATTTTAATTTAGTCTCACTTTAATTTTTTATTTCAATTTAGTCCCTAATAATTTAAATTAGTGTAATGTCAGACTTCCGTCCAAATTATTTAAACGGAGTTAACTGTTGGTCACATGGATGCTACGTAGATGCATAGGTGGATGCCAAATTTCTTTAATGCATCTGGAACCAGAACGACCTGTTCTAAATCCAGAACGACCTGTTTTGGTTCCAGAATATCAAACACAAACGATTGATGATTATAGTTGACGCCCGTGATTCTAAATCACGGTTGTGAATCGTGCAAGAAAAAAGACTCAAGATACAAAACATTTCAAATATTAGATTTGGTAATATTGTCAATGAGGATTGATAACTTTAATTGCTAAACATTTGGGTTATACAGTGTATGGTTAAGGACAATGTAGTGTATCACCAAGGACAATGGTGACAAGTTTTATTTCATTGTTAGTCAAACTGGAGTGAATCACTTATTACCAAATCGACACTATATAATCAAGGATGAAACGACATGATATTTTCCCTTGAAGTCATTAACCGATGTACCTCAACAACAACAACCTGTTCTTGAGGAGGTACAACCTGGAGTGGAGGAAGAGGACACACAGGACCAATATTTCACCACACAACCACATGTACAAGTAGATAATGTTGATATTCTGTCAGCCATTCAGTGTTATATGGTGGATAAGATGTCTTATTAACACCTTCAACGTTATCCAGATGATTTCCCTTCTCAGTAATTTCTTTGAACTTTCTTAGTATATGTTATGTTATAAATTTTTATTTTCAATTTTTGAATCACATTGCGACATTTTGTTAAGCGTACATATGTGATTGGCGTTCTGGAATGGTCCGTTCTGAAACCAGAATGGCCCATTCTGCTGCACTCTTGGTGTGTTAATTTTGCATCTGGAACGGTTCCAGATGCAAAATTAACACACAACATGTGCAACCAGAATGGGCCGTTCTGGTTCCAAGTGCATTAAAGAAATTTGGCATCCACCTACACGTTTACGTGGCATCCACGTAGCCAACAGTTAACTTCGTTTAAATAATTTAGACGGAAGTCCGACATTGCACTAATTTAAATTATTAGGGACCAAATTAAAACCAAAAATTAAAGTGAGACTAAATTGAAATAAAAAAATATTATAAGGAACCAAATTAAGTTTTTAACCAATTAAATATAACAAAAAATAATCGCATCTCACCTATATTGGATCTTTTAAACTAAGAAAAATATGAAAATTTTAAAAAATGCCTCCTATTTGCAAGTTAAAAAAAGAAAATCAGTAATGTAAACAACTCTTAATTAATTTTGGCCATCAAATTTATCTCGTCATAATTTACAGTATTAAAATATACAATTATAATTCATTCCCATTATCCAAGAAACTTCATGGCCAATATTTTTTCTTTATATGTTCTCTTCATACAGTTAAATTAATTTTGATAAAGATATATTAACACATTCTTGAGTATTATATATACATAGAGAGAAGGGAGGGATTCATTTACTTTAAAAGTAAATCTATATAGACTTATTCTGTTTAATAACTCATGTTCTAAGTTAAATTTTAAAATTCAATCGTTAATTTAAAAGTTCTTAATATATAATTAAATTTATAAATTTTTTAAAAATTTAAAAATTATTTAATACTTTATTTCATTAATTCAAATTGATATATAATTGTAAAAACATTTTATAGGTTGATTTGAATTAATGAAACAAAATATCAAATATTTTTTAAAAATTTATAAACTTATTATATATTAAAAACTTTAAATTTAACGGTTAAAATTTAATGTAAAAATGAAGTAAGTTTTAATATATTTACTTCTAAAGTAAATATGTCATTCTACACACATACACACACACATATATATATATATATATGAGGGGTTGTTAGCATATCCGCACTCCTTCTTTAGTTGGAGTGCATTAACACCCTACACCAAAATTTTAACACAAAAAAAATCATCATTCTCTCTTGTTTTATTTTTAATCAATTGTTTGTAAGGGTATTAGAATAATTTAAGATATATATTAAAAAAAATAGAAAATTTTTTTCTCTCTCTTCACCTCTCCCTTCTCTAATTCATTTTCTTTCTCTCTCATCTCACGTCTCCACTACCTGCTATTCTACTCTTGCCACAATCTTTATTTTTTCTTTTTCGCTTGTTATCAATATGATCTTTTTGTCAAGTTTTTCCTCACCTAAACCACAATTGAGTATGTTTCTCTCTCTCCATTTTAATTTAGCAATTGATTTTTTTCTAGACTATTAACACGCAAGTAAATAAAGCTATTAAGACGAAGATGAAAAATAAACATGGCAACCACTTCAAAATCATTTTCTTATTAAATTTAAGAACATTTTCAAAATCATGAAAAACAAGGCATTGCAACATGCTATACATGTCGATAATATTTAGAAAAAAAAAACTTGAATATCATATTTTATTATTTATTTATTTCATTGTAAATGGTAACTCACGAACAAAAAAAAGAAGAATAAAGTTTTGTTAACTATAATCCTTTCCTAACAAGATATATCTCACTCTACCACAATCAAATAAAGTCAATTACTAGACACAATAGGTGTCTCTAGTGCAAGATTTTGTAATCACTTACAATGGGATTGAATTGATTTGAAGAACTCAAACTTTGATAAGTAGAAATGGAATAAAAGGAAGGTTGATCAATTGTGTATTATTTTTCTTGATGTAGAAGAGAAGACATTTTCTCTATAATTAATCACTAGACTAAAAAAAGAGATTACAAAATGTAACTTGTGACTATTAAAATGGAGAATGAGGGTTGAAATACTGAAGATAAAGCTATGCATTGAAAATTCAAATTAAACAAACATAACAAGAGAACACCAAGTTAATTAAAAGGGGAAGAAGAATACGGTATGAAGAATATAGTGCATGAAATAGGAAAGGAGAGAGAAGTTTTTTTTTTAAAAATATTATATATCTTAAATTACTTTAATATCCTGACAAAAAATTGATTAAAACAAAAAAGAATAATATTTTTTTGTGTTAAAATTTTGTATAAAATGTTAATTTACTATAAAAGAAATGAGTATGTTAGCAATTTACGCATAAGATATAAGAGATTATTAACATAGTCTCACTTATTTTTTAGTTAGAATATACTCGTAATGTACATCAAAATTTTAAGAAAAAAAATTATCCACTCTTTTTTATTTAATTAGTTAAAATAAAGATTATTATATTAATTTAAAATTTATTTTTAAAAATAAAAGTATTTTTTCTCTCGTATTTTCTCTCCGACTCATTTCTCTCTCCCTCTTTTCGCTGCTGCTCCCCGTTTTCATGTTCATGAAAGTATTAAAGAATTTTTTTGCCCACCCATCAGAGATTTCAAGTTTATGAAATTGACGGATACCGGTGAGTAGAATGATGTTACAGAGTGTGTTTGGGAATAAAAGCACAAAAAATGTTGAATTTGCTTGCTTGCAGTGAAATATTTGATAGTAGTGGTGGTGGAGGAGTAAAAATGTGCAATGATATGAGGATACCCTTTCTTGGTAAAGTTCCTTTAGATCCCCAGCTTTGTAAGGCAGCTGAAGAAAGGAGTTAGAGAATCAATAAATCTCCCTTGATTACGGATCCTAACGGTTATGCAATGATGGCTTCCTCTGTCATAATGGGTCTCATTTAATACGTGGTTCGGCGTGTCCCTTGGGTGACACGTGTCGTGACCGTTTTGAAATTCTGGGGGAGAGTTTTTTCTTTTCTTTCACTCGCGCCTCTTGGCCTTTTTCACTTTTCTCTTTTCCATTCTTGTGGCTTCTTGTGCACGCTGTTGCTCTCGCTTTCTTCCATTCTCCGTCTCCGTTTCAGTCACCATTTCTGGTAACCCCTTCGTTGTTATGGTTATTTTCTGAAGAGGAGTACCAGGTACTTCCTTTTTACTGTCTTCTT